AATTCAAATTATATCACAATTTCTTTTCGAATCCTTCCCTTTTCCCCCTTCATTTCTCTTATCCGCTCTCGGTCCGTCCGCGATAAAGAGATTCAGTTCTCTGATCGAAAAAGGACCACTCGTCGTACGTCGGTACACGCGTAAAGCGATCCTTCTGGTCGCTGACTCGTAACTCGACCTGCTAGTACGATCGAGACCTTACGTCGTGTTGCGTTCTCTACCAGGACGTAACGTCCAGACGTAACAGAGTCAAGGGTGTATATCAGTTGGACACGGGGCAATTGGACACAGTCCAATCACAAGTCCAAGGGACCTGTTCCAAGGGACCCTACAAATGTCTCTAATCACACGGTGCTGTGATTGGCAGTATCCAAATGCACCGTGTCCAAGTGCACCGCTCCCTGGGGTCAAATGCATAACAAGAAGTGAACGAAAGAAGTATACAAAGAGAGCGTTCTTCGGAGACGACAACAACTCTACATCTGAGCAAGAAAATAAACCATTGCCGCTGCAGAGACCATTAGAACAGTTTAAGAACGAAAAGCAAAAGGTAAATGATATTCGTAATTGAATGCAAAGTACCTTCTTTCGTAATATTCTGATTCTACAATGTGTATTAACATGAACAACTGTTTTTAGAAAATGTTCAATGCGCGGCAGGATACTTGGGCTAAGTGGAAGAAAATACAACGACCCGCTCCAGATGTAAGTGGTGAATTATAGTGGAAATATAATTGTACAATAATGTACTTTTTTAACAAACATATTTTCTTTATGTTAGCATATCGATGAGATTCCTAATAATGAGAAAGTGACTAGTAAATTAGACACTTTAAATGAATTAAAACACCGCGTTTCATTACTGACAACAGAAAATAATTTTCTCCACAGCGAAAATATGATACTGCAAAAATATAAAGAGTTAATGGAAAGTAATTATATTGCTATCATCATAACACATTTTCATAAAAAAATAGATTTTATGTTATGTAACATTGAACTCAATATTAATTTATTATTGATTTGTATATATAGGTTTCCCAGAAGTAGTGAAAAACATTAATGTCATTAAACGTGACATTAAATATATTAAAACAGAAATTAATGCTCTTAAAAAAAGAGAGACTGAAATTGACATTATAACTTCAAAAACAACTTGCAAGCCGATCGAAGAAAGTCACGTTCCCATCAAGGTGCGGCAAAAGCAAAATGATATCAATACATTAACATGCGATGAATCCCAGGTTTGTTCTATAAGTAGTTCTATAAATAGGATTTTAGATTTATTATAATTATTAACCATCTATTTCTGATTAACCGTATTAAGAAACCATTTTTAATTTTTGATAATGATTGGAGTCACTTGATTTCACAGATGATGATTGAAGTCGGCAATGCTAGTTCGGACTATTTGTAAGACTTCATATTCTGTGTATATGTAACATCTTGTAACTATAATGAGTCAAACATAACTTTTTATAGGTTTCCAAGTCATTTGAAGAAAACACTGATAATAAGACGACACAGTGTACAGTTACCGAGGTTAGTGTATGTACACATATCATTATACACAGTCATGTATGTATTTCATGACTGTGTATATGATCTGCTCAAATCATTTCTGTTTGTAGCTTTTTCATACTTAAAAGCTACGTTAATTTTTAATAATCTTAATTTTTTCTTTAGTCTAATATTCCTGAAGCGGCACCCAAAAAATTCGAGCTGCCTTCCACTAGAGTCGCTAAATGCGATCATTCCAATGCAGCCTTACGAGCCTTAGGCCTTAGGCCTTAGGTCGCCTTACGAGCGACCTGCTGTCGGTAGTTTTTCCCAAACAGGAGTTAGCAATATCTTCTCTGACTGGTAAAGTCAGCCACTTTCAAATCCAACAAGGTGTTGCGCCAAAAAAACAATTGGATCCGATAAAAATTAATGCAATAAAAGGTAAATGCTTAATAATCGTTATTAATACATATACATACATACATACATATATATATATATATATATATATATATATATATATATATATATATA